GACTAGGTCAAGACAGAAACTGAACCTGGCAACATGGCCCCAGACGCCACTCTATTGATCACTACGTGACACTGTGCAGGTTTTGGAGTCAGAATTCAAACTCAAATGACTAATGAGTACAGATTACAAATCCGTTAGTAACCCGAGAGAGATTCAAACTAAAAACAAGATTTTACCTCACACCCACCAGCAATTTGAAAGCTGAACAAGGCCAAAGGTGGGTGGGGAATTGAGGAAGTAGAAACTCTCATGTAACTATGGATGGGAGTGAGTGTGGACTAGTGCAGCCATTTCAGAAGTGATTTTTTTGTCAGTTCTTCTTCTAATCAAGTATAGATGTAAGCTATGACCTAGGAATGTCACTCGTAGGTATATATACCAGAGATAGTCTTACATTGTTCCTTAGGGAAACATGAGAAAGCAGCTCCTCACAGCATCGTGTATAAAAAAAGGGAGTTGAAGGCAATCTAACTGCCCATTGCCAGAGGAATAGGTAAGCAAAATGTAGATGCACACGGTGGGGGGTGATGGAGCAGAGGTTGGCATCCATGATGCAGATGTACGCACTTCAACATAGTTAAATTGTAAAAACAATGGTGAATGAGGGGGAGGGGGTGGAGGAATAAGACATGGAATGAGGTCCATCACCCAATATATCTAAATCATGTCTTTTATGTAAATGTGAAATGAATACACACAGAAAAGGATACAAAAAAGTCAAGGACATCGAACACTCTAGAACAGTTGGGGGATGAGACTGGAGAATGGTGATTAAAGAGAAGAAAAACATGCATTCAGACAAAAAAGTATATAAGAGAAGTGTCTTGCAAAATGCAGGTAATAAAAGATCTATGCATCCTAATTCTATCAAGTTATTGCCTGTGTGACGTTGAGTAAGTCATTTCACCTTTTTGATACTTGCTTTTCTTGTGTGGACGATGAAGGACATGGACCTTCACAACCTGTATCATGAAGGAGACTCCTACAGAGGAAGTCAGTGTAGAATAGGAAGTGCAAGGAGCCAGACAGACCCAGCTGTGCACTGTCTGGCCTTGAGGAGTCACTTCACTTTCTAAGCTTCTGTTTTTAATGAGGTGGTCAAGACCTCACTAAGAAGAGGACATTTGAATAAAGCCTTGAAGGAGTCAAGGAAATAAGCCATACAGATATGGGGGGGAGGGGCGGGGGGAAGTAGTTCAGACCGAGGGAAGAGTCAGTTCTGTCCACAGGTAATGACGTGAAGTTCCCCTCACGGTGCCTGGGACACAATCAGCAGTCGGTGTTCCCTCCTCTTACAGAGATGTCAGGATCAGAGTGGCTACTTAATGCACCTTCTAGCTTCAGCGACAATGACATTCTAGCCTCAAAAGGTTTCGAAACACTGCATCCACATACTCTACCCACCTGTAGGAGTGCCCTCCCTGAGTGACCACAGAAGCCTCACCCTGGAAAGAAGTCATTGCTGCTGGGACTTCAGCCTGCATGGGGAGCACAAGAGCCCCCAACTCAAGCAGGAAGCTGGAAACAGTGAGGCAGGCAGGGCCCCTCGCCAGCTGCTATTGTCCTCGAGAGACTCCTATCCCAGCACACACCAACACTAGGACAGGGCCTAGAGGGGCTTGAGCAAGAGTGCAATCACCTGGGGAGAGGAGCGAAGGGAAGGGACCCATATTTACTAAGGCAGAGCTGAGTCCCATATTCCCCTTAGTAAGATAAAGGGATTGGACCTACCCTGTGGTGTGTGTTGTTGTTGTTTTTTCATTCTGCCACTTTCCAGCTCTTATATCTTTACAAGTCACAGAACATGTCAGAGCCTCAATTTCCCCATCTGTAAAATGGTATGAAAAGTTCAGTTCTGTACAGTGGTTGTGAGGACTCATGAGATAAGATTTGTGAAAGTGGCAAGCAACTATCTGGGGCTCAACAAAAAGTAGTTCCCTTTCCTCTGTACCACGTACCTGGGAGGCAGCCACTGTCAGATTCAGTCAGCTCGGGTCCTTATTTATTTTATCTTTTTCTACGGGGATGGAATCACCTATCTTTCATGTAGAATCTGAGACAGCAAATAAAAACTGTGCTTAGCATAGTTACTGGACCAAAATGGTACTCCATAGATGTTTGTTGGATACCTGGATGGATAGATGCATGCATGCATGGATAGATGGATGGGTAGATAGATACACAGACTGATAGATGGATGACTGGGTAGGTGGGAAGATGGCTTCCTGGCAGAATGTCAGGGGAAGCATAATTTGTATTACAGAAATACAAGTCTGCACACACAAAAAAACAGCTATTTTATAAGAGGGTTTTATTATACCTTTTTTTAGCCTTAGGTCTCAAGCACAGATATAACATAGATGAGTAAAAACTGGCATAAACATGCCCAGTTCTAGTCAACTGTGACCTACACTTATCACTCTATAGTCTATGACTCATCTCAAGGGACCAGGTCTTGCCTGCACAGCATTCTCTAACTGAGATCACTGGAAGTTCCCGGAGGTGAAAGTTGAAATCAGGGGGAGATACAGGATAAGGCCTTCTTAACGTATAAGATGGTTTGGAATTCCTGACTGGTGATGCTTCTTCGAAAGAATTACAAATCAACTTTTCCTATAATCCCTGTCACCATTGCAAGAAGTGAGAGACACAGATTAGCAGCCAATTCTATATTCCCTGCAGTTCCATGCTGTGTAATTTCTGCAATCACTTGGTTCCTCTGAGTCCCCTATTCCCCTAGTAAGATCAAGGGATTGATTGGCCCACCCTGTTCCAAAATGTTCTGATCCTCTGAAAATCACTGACATCGTCCCTTAAGTATGAACCTAGAACTTTGGAAGGATATGTATTATAAAATTCCTTCTCCACCTCTCCTTGAAGAGTCTGTTAAACCCTTTCAAACTAAGTGCATGTAAACGCAATATGTCTGTTTATGCTATACCCTGGGAAAGCAGTAAGCTTTGGAGACAGACCGATCTCAATCCCAGGCCTTCTGTGAGAAACTGTAGATACACTGATGAACAAGATTCAGTTCCTGCCCCAGGAAGGGGAAGGTGGACATTCAAATGAATAAACTTCATAGGAATTAAAGCATAAAAAAGTTAGACCCTTCAGCCCTAAAGTGCTGTTAGAAGAAAGCCAATGACCCTGCCTAGAGGCCCCAGGGAAGGTTGCCTATCAGAAGTGTTCTGGGCTAGGTCAAAAAGAAGAGAGAGCATCTGAGGTCACAACCAAGCAGAAGTCACAGGGGAAGTAAACATGGCTATCTGCAGAGTGGTGAGGAGAGCAGCAGGGCTGTAGCATGGGCTACAACTAAAATATTCCTCCATGGGCCCTGGGTATGAGTGGGATCTGTCCAGGCAACATTCTGGGAGAAGCAAGGGCGTGATGAGAAGTTACCATCTCAGGACTGTGATACTTACTCTTTTTTTTTTTTTTAATGGTAGCAGCATGGTTTATTAAGCTGTGCCTTAGCACTGGCTCTGGGGCTTGCCCATGGTGCTGTTGATGTACAAAGCCCGGACTTTCTACCAGTTCTATTTCAGCAATGACACCAAGAAATTGACAGCTAAATGGATGTTGTACACAAACTCATCATCTGTCATCTTCACATGGCCAACAGCCACCGCCAGACACAGCACCTTCGTCATCTGAAACTTGATTGTGGCTTTCACTTCATCAATTTTGACCACCACGTTCTCATTGTGGGTCAAGAGGAAGAGAACCTGCTGGCCTTATGCAGGCCTGGGCCCAGGATTCGTAGATCTGCTTGATCAGAGGAGACTCTGAAGCCAAAAAGGCATCATACTTCTTGGCCAGCTCCTTGACTAGTTTCTTACTCTTGCTGGGTTTCTTCAGTGCCCCGCTGTTCATGCGGGGGATAGCCACGGCCTTGACCTCATTGCAGTGCTGCTGGTCCTCCAAGGCACATGTGGAGAACTTGGGGCAGGGAGTGGACTTCAGCCTGGCAGTGCCCAAGTTTGTCCTCCTGAGGCTCATAGTTCTTCAAGCTGATCTGCAGCTCCACTGTCCCCAGAAACTTCCATTGCTTGCGCTGGTTCCCGTGCAGAACTTCCCACACCGCCTTGTACAGGGTGTCTCAGGAAACTTTGCTGTTTGTGATTCCTCGCACCGCGAAAACCGGAAAAGAGCTCAGACTTACTCTTTATTGAGCACTCAGTGAGTGCCGACACCATGCACTTTGTACGCGTCACGGCAGTGTTTCCCAATGTGTATTATGCAAGTCCCTGGGGAGTATGAGGTGACTTTAGACAGGAAACCAAGAACATTTTTATTTTAAGAGTTATGCTTTCAGTTTACATTTATCTTCTATGTATGGCAGGCGGCATTAGTTTTTTGTTCACAGTCTATAATAATAAAAGCGTAATATGCAAGTCGACCGAACAGCAGAATGACCGTCCGGATGACCTTCCAGACGACCATGCTATGACACACACTGGCCCCAGGCCAGCCAAGGCAGGTGCAATGTGATTGGTCAGAGGGCCCCACCATTGCCCCACAATCGCCCCACGGATCATGGGGAGGGGGCTCCACGATTAATTGCCCCAAAGAGGGAGGCCCAGGCCAATGACCAGCAATGCTGTGGCGGGTGTGCAGGGCCAGCCAGCAATCGCCCTGCAGAGGGAGGCCCAGGCCAGCCAAGTGATCACACCCCACACCTGTCACCCGCAGAGGGAGGTGACCGGTGGGGGTGGAGGGGAGGGTAGCACCACACAGATGGCAAGCTGTGACAGGGGCGGGGGCAGGGCCAGCTGCAGGCAGCCAGGGGAAGGAAAGCCCTGATAGGCCCTTTTTCCAGCCAGGCCTAGGGACCCTACCCAAGGGGTACCGGATTGTGAGAGGATGCAGGCTTGGCTGAGGGACACACACACACACACACACACACACACCCCTCCGGTGCACAAAATTCATGCACCGGGCCTCTAGTTTAGTTATAAAACATACTTTTTTACAATTTAAGTTTTTAAAAAGTGACCCAATTTAAAGAAAAATATTTATTGAGTAAATATATAGCTGGTACAAAGACACTGTAAAAACTTCAAGGGGGGGTGGGTACATAAATCACTGAAATTCAAGAAATACTGTTTTAGCATGTAAGCATTTATCTCGTTCGGAGCTCATTTAGTTGCAAGTAATCGATGACTCAAAGCTCAAGCAAGATAAGGGAAGATTTCCTACAAGGAACTCTCACAGGCCCCAAAGGAAAAAGTGCAGTTGTGCCTCAAGAAGGGCGTGGCCTGGAGGAGGAGAGCGGCAGCCCCTGGAAGCACCACCCCCTCCTCTCTCCAGGTTCCGGGGCCTCTGTCTCTGCTTTGCTCTGCACATCTCCAGCTTCCCTCTAAACAGAGCCGTTTTCTCTAGTACACACGTGTAGGTGGCCGCCTCCGCCACCCTCTCAACCCCAGCATATACTCACAGACAGACACACACATGTAGACGCGCACACACTCACAGCTCCAGGGTTTCTCTATCTTCAGGTGAGTGACTTGCAGAGCCTGAAATAGCATCCCTGACTCTTGCTACTTATTCCTGAGAGAGCTGCGGTACTCAGCTCAGGGTGCAAGAGGAGGCTCATTTGAATTCCTGACTGGCCCAGCTAGAGCCAGATGTTCACCTCTCATCCATTCAACTCCTACAGGAGGACGGAGGGGAACACATTCTCAGAAAAAGAGAGAAACTTGGATGAGAAGGCACCCTGACCGAGAGGTCTCTGACTCAGCAACTTACTTCGCTGCTCAGAACAACCCTATGAGGTAGGAAATTCAGCTCAAAGTTCCTCAGCAGGAAGTGACAAAGCCAAGAGTGGAAACTGAGTCTTTGTGGCACCAAAGCTCTAGTAAGCTGCACTGCCTGGTCACCATCAGGTAAGGCCAGCCCACAGCTACGATTGCGGACCCAAGCGCGTTACTGGCCCATCGGGAGGCAGTTATAAAAATCATCCATCCAGTGCTTGGCCAGTAGACAGAAACCAAGGATCCCAACTTTATGGGGACACTGTCTGGGAGGGAAGAAGATTTCTTTAAAGGCCCATAAGGCCCTGGAAACCAGAGAGGGCTCCTCCAAGCCCTGGGTCTGAGGCTGCCAGATTCAGACTGTGGTACTCAGCTCAGGGTGCAAGAGGAGGCTCATTTGAATATATTTGCTGAAAATCACAAGCAGGCATCTAGAGATCGTCGAGAAGTGGACACTTCTCTTCTGCACCCAGAATTCACAGTGCCTGCTGGCCCTAGAAACCATAACTGCTCCTCCCACCTCCTAGAAGCTAAATTAGGAGGGGGTTCCCTAGAAAAAGAGGCAGGGGGAGACCAGCCTAGGCTCCCACTCCCATGGAATCCCCTGGACATCGTGGTGCCCTGGATGATCAGAGTTTCGCCCTGAGGGGCCTTTGCTGCCCGACAGGAGGTACTTTATCAAGGTCTCTGCACAGACAGATGGATGCAGCGATTGTGTCTCTCCCCCAGAGCTGAGCCAGGCCTGAAGCGAGGTCCATGCAGGGAGACACTTCTGCCTCAGGACACAAGCTCCCCATCCTAGCGTTTGGTCTATGCAAGTGTTATCTTCTCTGGTCGCCGTTCGGGTGTTGGGTGAGTGGGGAGAAGGTTCCATTGAGCCACCCTAAGAAGTGTCACAAAGGCCTTGTGCCTGTGGGTGGAGACAGGGTGGCATCATCCCAGCTCAGAAGTCTGCCCCAAAGGTACTGCCACGTGGCCAGGGGAGTGTCCCTTTCCCCAAACCCCCTTCTCTGCCTTTACAGTGATGAAGGGAGTGGTTGCTCCAAAGTTTAAGTCATATGCACTCGGGATGCTGCCCGAGCAGGGTGCACTGGGTGGCTCAGAGTCTGTCCCCAAGGTCTGCCCCTGGCTAACGCCACCAGCCAAGGTTTCTATGGCAGATGTCCAAAGGGGGCTCCAGGGGCTCGTTCAGGTTTGGGATTTCTAGCAGTCTGGCTCTTCCATCATCCCCACCTTACGGAGGTAGCCTCCAGATCTCATGGGCCCCGAGCACCCAGGGAAGATGTGCCCAGACCACAGCAAATACCTCTTCTTCCCCCAAGTCAGTCATGATGTCCATGTCTCTGGGCCTGGCCCCATCAGGCAGAGGCTAATTTTTGAGGGAATTGGCAGGCACGTGGTTGAGCGGCAAGACCACTTCGGTGCCCGTGTCCATGGTGGTCAGGGGGCATTTCCGACTGCTGCGCATGCTCTGGAACTTCTCGGTAAGGTGCTTGCGGAACTTCTTGGTGAGGAAACAGTAGATGATGGGGTCTAAGACGCAGTTGGTGCTAAGGAGGCAGAGGGTGACCTGATGTGCATCGTTAATAGCCTGGTGGAAGTCGCTGTTCTGGAAGCCCAGCTCGGCCAGGGTCCAGGGCAGCTGCACGACATGGTGAGGCACAAAGCAGATGATGAACACAGCCAGGACCGTGCAGACCATCCACAGCGCCCGGCGCTTGACTTCCACGTTGCGCTGCAGCTGCACGGGTTGCAGGAGCAGCGTGCGGATGATGATCAGGTTGCAGAAGAAGATGATGAGGAAGACAAGGAAGAAGGCAAACACGAGAAAGATGTGAATGATGAGGACCGGTTTGCTGCCTTTCTCGTAATGTTCAAAGCAGCGAGTGACGTTGCCGGAGCCGGTCTTGTTGGGCACTACGTTGGTGGAGTCCAGGACAAAGAAGTAGGATGCAGCGGCCACAATAGACACCCAGATGATCAGGGACAGCAAGATGCCGCGCGTTCGGGTAGTAGCCTGAGCGGTCTTGATGGGCCGCGTCACGGCCTGGAAGCGGTTGTACGTGATGACAGCCAGGAAAGCCACCGAGCAGTAGGTGTTGATGAAGAAGAAGCAGCCGGTCACGTTGCACAGGAAGGCAGGGAGAATCCAGTTGCCCTGGTGGTAGTAGTAGGTGATCCACAGGGGCAGGGTGACCAAGAAGAGCAGGTCGGCCATGGTGAGGTTCACCATGAAGATCTTGATCTCGTTGAGTTTCTTGGAAGGGTACAGGCGGGCAAAGACCCACAGCACGTAGCTATTGGTGATGACCCCCACCACGAAGATGACACTGTAAAAAATCGGGAAGAGGGTGTATCGGAACTCGGAGTCCACGCGAGAATCATTCGCCTCCATTGCTCGGGGCTAGAGAAGGCAGCTGGTCACCGTGTCCTGCTTGTGCCTGGAAGACCACACAGGGATTCTGGTTAATGAAGGGCCAACAGGGGACTATCTTATTTCATCTAGTCTAAGACTCCCATTTTGCACATTTAAAAAAAAAATCAATGGCATCTTCCAATTAATAGGCAGCATTTATTTTCTTTCTACGTAAAATAATTTTCCAAGGGACTACATCTGAGATTCCATGAAATCAATAGCAGCTGTTTCAGCAGTGGAAACACTTGAAGAAGCCTATAGATCAGTGGTTCTCAACCTTCCTAATGCCGCGACCCTTTAATACAGTTCCTCATGTTGTGGTGACCCCCAACCATAAAATTATTTTCGTGGCTACTTCATAACTGTAATTTTGTTACTGTTATGAATCATAATGTAAATATCTGATATGCAGGATGTATTTTCATTGTTACAAATGGAACATAATTAAAGCATAGTGATTAATCCCAAGAACAATATGTAATTATATATGTGTTTTCCGATGGTCTTAGGCAACACCTGTGAAAGGGTCGTTCGACCCCCAAAGGGGTCTCGACCCACAGGTTGAGAACCGCTGCTATAGATACTTAAACAGGTGAGTTTTAAGAAACAACTGGTCTAATTGGAATTTTGTTGATTGAGAAAAAAATGTTGTGCTTTGCTCTATTTACTGTGGTGGTGGTTTATCTATGTTAAGTTAAATAAATGTAGCTTCCATTATTCCAATAAATCATTGTGGTTCCTTTAAGAAAAACAAAACACTCACCCGCGAGTCATACTGTGAGTTACATAGTTGACTTGAATTACATAGTTTTATGCTATTGGAACTTTCCCACTGCTAGATGGAGCTCTGCCATTTGATCCCTAAGCGCTAGGATAATGGCTCCACAGGGATGAGGAGGAGAGAGGAACATCTCTGAGACCTTTTAGGGGATCCATGAGGTCAAAACTATTGTCATACTAATACCAAGACGCCCTGGCTGATTTGGCTCAGTGGCTAGAGCGTCAGCCTGCGGACTGAAGGGTCGTGGGTTCGATTCTGGGAAAGGGCACCATCCGGGTTGCGGGCTTAGTCCCCAGTGGGGGCATGCAGGAGGCGGCTGATTAATGATTCTGTCTCATCATTGATGTTTCTATCTCTCCCTTTCCCTTCCTCTCTGAAATCAATAAAAATATATTTTACAAAATACCAAGACATTATTTGCCTTTTGCACTGTGTTGACATTTGCGTTGATGTTGCAAAACTGCTGGCTCCTTAGAATAAATCAAGGCAGCAGCACCAAACTGTAGTAGCAGCCAAATTCTTTACAGCCATGTACTCAAGAGTTAAAAAAAGAAAAAAAAGAAAAAGAAAGGCAATTTCATTTTAAGTCACTTTAAAATGCCCTTGGTAAAGCAAGGATATGATTAACTTTATTAAATCTTGAGTATACATCTTTTTTAATATTCCATGTCAAAATGGGAAATCCACATGAAACATTTCTGCTGCAAACTGAAGTAAATTGATTGTCTTCAGGGAAAGCATTTATGTGATTGTTGGAGTTGTGAGCTGAACTTTTCTGAGGATCATCATTATTATCACTTGAAAAAATGGCAAACTATGGCCTGGCTGGTGTGGCTCAGTGGTTGAGTGTCAACCCATGAACCACGAGGTCGCTGGTTCAATTCCCCATTAGAGCACATGCCTAGGTTTTGGGCTCGATCCCCAGTAGGGGGCATGCAGGAGCCAGCCGATCGATGGTTCTCTCTCATCATTGATGTTTCTATCTCTCTCCCTCACCCTTCCTCTCTCTCTAAAGCTTAATAAAAACATATTTTAAAAATTATTTTATTTTCAAATTAAGTTTTTCAGACTTGAGTATCTGGCAGACGTTTTCTCAGATATGAATAAGTAAACCTGTCACTTCAAGGGAAACAAACAGTATTTATGGACAATGATAAAATTCAAACTTTCAAAGGAAATTAGAATTTGAGGGGAAAATTGTATCTCCAGCTTTCCAATACTTAAAGAATTTTCTGATGAGATTGGTGGTGATATTAATGAATGCAACTTTTAAAATATCTTATAATGAAAGAGCAATATTTGGAAGACCCGCATAACTCATTGAACAGATATTTTCCAAATAAGGAAGACATGATATTTCAAAATTATGCCTAGGCAGAAAATTCAAAGCATAAGATAAACCAATACCTCACAGGGTAACAAATTACAAAAAGTTCGTTGATCTGATCCAGGTTCCACAGTGCAGCTAACCTTTAAGAAACTACCATTTGTGGGAAAAATAGTGTCACCAATTATCTGAAAATGACATTAAAATATCCCTCCTTTTACAGATACCTATTTGTGTGAGGCCAGATTTTCAAAATGACATAACACCTCAGATTGAATGCAAAAGCAGTTATGAGAATCCAGCTGTCTTCTAGTCAAACCCAAGATCAAAGTGATTTGCAAAAAAATAATAATAATAAATGCCACTCTTCTTCCTAAAATGTTTGTTTTGAAATTTTAGTTATTTTTTACTAAAAACGTTATTTGTGTTAACATGCAATGAGTTTGTTATTGGTTTTTATATTTAAAAGCAACAATTTTTATTTATACTGTCTTAGTTTTAATTTTTTAAATGGTAAACAATGATAGATATAATCCATGCAAACAAAAGCACTCTGGGGCCCTCAAAACATTTTCGCGATATAAAAAGATCCTGAGACCAGAAGATTTGAAAATTGTTGCTCCATAACCTCAGGTCCTCCACTCTCTCCCGTGGGCCCAAGATGCCCGTTCATCTGCGACTGGCCTTGTCTCTTTCTCCTGTTGGGCCCCCATGCCTTGGGGGACCGTGTTGCTGGGGTCTGAGAGAGGTGAGGAGGCAGCCCATAGCTGGGGGTGCGTATTGCTCCACACTCTGGGTCTTTGAGGAAGTCACATCCCTACCTACCCCTCACTCCCACACCCAGCTCCACCCCTAAGTTAGTTCCTTCCTGTCATGGGTTTAGGCTCCAGCTCAATGGGGTGGAGGCCACTCTCCTCCAGAAACTGTCCCTCTCCGGCCAGAGGACCATGGCAGAGCGGATGGAGGGAAAGTGATGGTTGTGAGAGGTATCTGGGAGGCTCAAGGACAGAACTCGGTGAGGTGAGATACTGGCTGATAGAAAGGGAGGAGTGAAGGACGGCCAGGTTTCTGGCCCAGAGACTGGAGGTGGGGTGTTGTCGATCTTCATGGACACGAGACCGAGGAGGAACAGCGTGTGGGTGGGAGGGTGAATTCGGTTGAGGAGATACCACATTTGCAGCGCCTGCAAAACAGCCAGGCGGATCCAAGGTTGAGCCCCGAAGAGAACACCATTGAAGGATACGCCCGAGGAGGAGGAGGAGGAGGAACTTCGGAGCGGGGCAAGGACAGGATGGCCAGAGAGGTGGGAAGAGAACCAGGGGAGGCCTTCCTAGAGACCTAATGAAGGAGGTTTCAAGAATGGGAGAGCCAGTGGCCAGAAGTGTGAAAAGTCACAGGGCAATCAAGTACAATGCAGACAGAAAAGCAGATATTGGATATGGCAACACGGAAATCTGTCTCGCGTGATTGGAGGGAGAGCAGTTTCCTAAGATGCGTTGAAGAGTGAAAGAGAAGCAAGGAAGTGGAACGTCAAATTCTCATTCAAGAAGCTTAATAAGTTGAAAGAAGTAGAGAGAAAGAAGTAGAAAGATAAATAAATACAATGTCAAATTGTGATGAACTCAATAGAAGAAATAAAAGTAGTAACATGATGAAGCCAGATTAGAGGGCTGCTCTAAGTAAAGTGACCAGGGAAGGCTTCTCCGAGGAGGTGACAATAAACAAAACCAGAGGCCTATTTGCCATGAAGCCAATGAAGCTTGACCTTCAGGGCCCCCTCCTCGGCCTTGTACCTAATTGTGTATTTGTAATTTGATATCGTTTCTTCAAAGAAGGGCCCCAAAGGTGTATAAAATTTATGGTCCTGCAAAACCTGTATCTTCCTCTGGCTGAAATCTAAAAAGTGAAAAGAAACTAGTCAAGAGAAATTATTTAAGTCCATCACATTCTGAGACAGGAATAAATTTGTCATGTTCAAGGAACTGAAAGGTCAGTGCGGCCTGCAGGTGTGAGAACTGGGAAGCGTGGGATGCGACCAGAGAGGAACAGCCCTACATCCCTGGGATGAGGAGTCCAGACTTTATTCCTTTGGCATCACAGAGACACTGGAGCATGTCAAGCAGGTGAGAGGCATGACCGGACTCGCTCTGGACGTTGGGCAGAGAATAGATGATAGGGAGCAAGAATGGAAGCAAAGAGACCATTTTGGAGGCAAGAGATGGTGGTGACAGGGACCAGAAAGTGGCATTTCCAAGTTTTCTCTGTATCCCCAGCATCCAGCACAAGCTTAGCCAGAGCAGGAGCTGGGTACACATTTGTCAAGTGAACAAATCTCTAACAACTGACAAGACTGACCTCTTTGTGAGGACGGTGAGAGGGGTCATCCAAGAAGATAGTAGAGGCCTCATCTACCCGGGGGCATAGAGCACCAGTGGCAGCCTCCCCACAAGGCAGAGTGCCTTCCACCACCTCCCTACTCAGACTGTGGCCCTGGGGCCAGAGCACCAGCGTCAGCTGTGAGTTTGTTAGGCACGCAGAAGCTCAGCTCCACCGAAGATCTGCTGTTTCAAGCTGTCTTTTAACAAGATCCATGCGATCTTGATTCATGAGCACCTGGAGTTCGAGAAATGCTGTGCCCAACACACTGCCAGCCACATACCTGTCTGACCTAACACCTTCCATGGCGCCCCTCTGTCCAGGATCAAGGCCACGCTCCTGTCCAAACTCATCTCCCACCAGCCTCTACTGCTACTCGCCCTCCACTCCAGCCACACGGAACTTCCTGCCGCTGCTCTGAAAATTCCATTTCTCTTCAAACCTCTGTCTTTGCACGTGCTGCGGGCCCTACTGAGCATGCCTTTTGCCTGTTATTCTCCCTCGCAAAATCTTACTCAGGAAGACCTAAGCTAAAGAATGCTTTCTCCGGGACGCCTTCCCGTCTGCCCCAGCTGGAAGGAGTTGCCTTCTTCTCTCTGAGGCACCATGATACTGGGCACATTCTTCAGTATAGAACCTGACACACACCAGGTGGTTGTAAGTATTGATCTCTGTGGCCCTTTCACTCACCAGGCTGGGAACTTCTTGAGAGCAGAGATTAGATTTTCATCTCTCTGTCCCCAGTGTCAGACAATGGGGACTGAATGACTGAATGAATAGCCAAGCCCCAGGTGACTCTTCAGAGGAAACTGGCACGAAGGAAAGGTACCCAGCCTCTCGGGAAGGCACAGCAGGGTGGGGAGGACAAGGCCTCTGGGGTTAGAAAGGCCTGGGTTCATCCCTGGCTCTGCCATTTCCTTGCTGTGTGACTGTGGACAAGTGTATTCACTTCTCTGAGCCTCAGTTTCTTCGTTTGCAAAAGCTCGCAATCCTAACAGTAGTTCCGAAAATAAGCATGTAAAGTGGCCACAAATGGCCAGGCTGTCCTCCACTCCCCATTGGCCCAGCTCCCCACTGGAGCCCGGGGAGGGGACTGTGGGTACCACTGACTTCCAGAGCTCTAACTCACCACTGACTTTCCTGCCAGCTCCAGCAAGGCTTTAGACTAACGCCAACAAAGCTATCAACAGTTCAACTTAACATGCAAGCACAGTCCCCTGAGGATCAAGGCTGGGCAGCAGGCCCAGGCCCAGCACTCAGCTGTGAGTGGGCTAAGAGGGCCATAAAAATTCTCAGAGATAAGAATCCTGCCATCTGGATGTCCCACCCTCTGCCCTGCAGAACATTTAGCCCCAACCACACTCTGCCTACCACTCCCATCCTGCCTACTATTCCCAGGCCCTGGGACCTGAGAAAGCTGGACAATCAGAGGGGAGGGACTACCAGGATCGGAGCAGAAGCTATACGCTGGTTACTTCCCCAGTGCGGACTGTGGGTTGGGAAGTTGGGTTTACCAGTCAGTCTGGCCCCTGACATTTGTGGTGTCATATGTGGTCAAGAGTACCCATGTTTAAATATTTACAAGCTATCACACTGGCCGGTGTGGCTCAGTTGGTTGGAGCATTGTCCTGTGCACCAAAAGATGGCAGGTTCCATTCCCGGTCAGGGCTCAATACCCACCGTTGCAGGTTCAATCTCTGGTCAGGGCACTGCGCGAGGCAACCGATCAATGTTTCTCTCTCACGTGAATATATCTCCCTCTCGCTCTTTCTCTCTCACAAATATATATTTTTTCTTACATGCCTACAAAATTGATTGGGTCTTTAAAAAACACACCTAAAAGTAAATAAGTATTTACAAGCTACAAATCAGTCACGTCCAATTTCATGCACATCCCATACACCAGCAGCTCCTGGCAAACCAGCAAGCTTGAGGGTGCGTGCGCCAGTAAGAGTGTGGGCGAGAAGGGGTGCGGGCAGGACTCAGGCTCCAAGTGGTCAGTCCCACGTGGATCTAAGGACTCCTTGCTCTATAGGGAGGGCTTGACTGAAGGGGAGCCAGAGCCAACCCACCTAAACTCGGGGCACTGGGCATGATTTTCCAATTAAATGGATAGATGCTCTTACCCATGATCACATTTCCTCCTCCAATCAGCCTTGGGAGGTAAGCGTTACAAAATGCCCACGTTTCCGGGGAAGAAAGTGA